AGCTTGATTAGAAGAGGTGGAACGTGACTTCTTGCACCTGGTTGGAGGTGCCCCGATTCAAACATACTAAGATAAGTACTAAGATACTGTATACACCCAATATATATGAAACACCCGTGGGGGGTCCTTCTAAAGTAGGTGAATCCTCCAGTCCGGGTCCCATCAACCGAAAACCTTTGGTCGAAGTCGAAGACTTCATCGTTTCAGGCTATTGGCCGCCGCCGCCGGTGAATCCGCCTCCCCCCGCCCGGTTGGCCTGGTGGACTGTGTTGGACTGCGTCTCGTGGTGCATAGACAGGGCCACCGAGCAATGACTTTCATCCCTTATCATTGATGTTACTGTTAAATCTGGTGAAGCCTTGTTTGCTCTTGATCTCATATGAAGGGATGGTCCGAACTAGCGACCTTCGGACGATCTGCCTGATTCGGGTTGCGTCTTTGGGTCCAGCCTTTGGGCGACCGTCTTTTGGTGAAAGCCAGGAGAATATGGCGCTCATGTTGCAGGTGAGCAAGTTTTAGGTGGTGTTCGATCTGGAAGACCTTGTTTTTTGCTCCAGTGATTCCGCTCAGGAGGGGGAAGTACACATACTGCTATGGAGTGGATATGGCCCCAAGCGAACCCATGATCAAGTCGGCTCATGACTCACAGTGGGTCGACCTATCAAACGCCTAGTTGTGGCAAGTGACACAGGTCCTCGCGCCAGAAGCTTGTGCATGTTGGCTCGTAGTGCTGCATTTCCTGTTCGTCCCTCTTGGTAGGTGTTTGTTGAACAAACTTTGTGGATCCAAAGGCATGACTCACCCTCACATCGGAGAGCATTCAACAGGTGTATGATGGTGTATATGGGTGTATTATTGGTCAAAAAGGCTCAAGATGTCCAGTTCAGGTTCTTGCCAATCCTCTTCAAGTTCCCCGCATGGGAACCCCCGTTATTTTTAAAGAAATCACTGGCGCCCATCTCCAGTTCTCGCGTCTCTCCGTGACCGTTTGATGTGCAAGCGATCTCAGGCCGCAGATCGTGACTTTGGCTGCAGATAAAGTAGAAGGCATTCAGCTTCTTCGGAATTTAAGTAAGTGCATCAGTACATCACAGAACTTGGATGAACTGGGAACACTTTGAGGAAAGATGCTTCTTGAAACAGAGTCACACACACACACACACTAAGGGCCAATATCTTTACAAGTGTAGCTTGAGGTGGGCACCACCAGTCAGAGAGTACTTGGTGGAGGATGCCCCCTGCTCAAATGATTCGAAAGAGATATGCTAGAGAAAGCAGTGCGGCGAGCCACCAATACAATAGGTGCCGAGTGTGTTTAAGGTCGTTTAAGGCTGTACTCTTTAAGAAGATTCCAATCGGTGCCTTTCCCCAACAAGTTCTTGAGGTCTACTCAGCAAGGTTCACCGACCCAAAAAAAACCATCAGCGACTCTCGACCGGTAGAGAGATGTCCCTCTGACTCCAACTCTCATACTATCCGATCAGCTGCATCTCAGATCACCCGGTTTGGTTTGCTTCATTTGCAGAGAACCGATTGGCGTTGCAGAAGAGGTGTTGCAAATGGATTGGCGTTGAGTTCTACGAGTTCCATGACTTCTTCAAGACTCCACGAGTTCTTCCAACAGGTTCTTTTTTTTAAAACCTTTTCCCATGTCTTCCCAGGCCACCTTCCGCACGCCGAGCCCTCCAATGGCCCCGCCGGGGACGTCCGAATGGAGGATAGGATCGGAGCGGCTCAAAGCTGGTGAGTCTGAGGTGTTGGATCATAAGGAGCTGCTACAAACAATCATCAAGACCTCTATTGTGGCGAGTTGGAGTGCAATCTAGATTCATCATGATTCATCTAGATTCTATAGATGCAGCATCATCATATATAAATAATCCTACCTTTTTGTAGATGAAGGATCTGAGAGCTTGGTTCATTGGTTCCACCAGTTTCAGATCCATATATAGTTCAGAGCAGCTTCCTTGGCCTCAACGTGGATTGCCCCTTCTGTGCGGACAATGTGGGTACGTGTTGCTACTGGTTGTAGTATGTATCTAGTAGTTACTATATAGTTACTAGTTGTAATATGTAATTTGGCTATGGCTCAAACATATCCCACTACCACATAGGATTTGGACCATTTGGACGTGCGCCACGTTAGAAGATCCCTGGTCTGGCGACCAAGGCCATTGGAAACGCCCACAGGCGACTCTTCCCCAGCTGCCTTGCGGGTGCGTGATGCCTTGCGGATGCTGAGCCCCAGGTGCACCTTCGACTCGCGCCCGGGGCCTGCGGACGGAATGCGCGAGCCGGCCCCAAACTGGTGGAGTTTCCCGTCCCAAAGCCATTGCTTGTGGATGTACAGTAGTTGACGTGAATCCCGAGTTTGGGTTTGACATCCACTGATATCTATATAGGGGCTAGGGCGGCAGTCTTGGATCAGCCAGTTGCCCACTGCCTCCCCTGCGACAATAACACGAGACGGGGGGCAAGCATGTCAAAACATGAAAGCCTGGTACATGGCAAAGTGAAGCCAGACAATAGAAAAACTGGATTCCTTCTTGCTAAAATCCAACAAAATCTTGGTAAAGCTTCCCCCGGGATCCCAAAGTAATTTTGTTTGTCTCAGTGACCTCGTTCTCTACTTGAAACCTCACACCATCTCCCCAAGGCTTTCCGAAGGCATTGTGACACCCCATCTGAAGAGCAACACTTGACCATGCCGCCGGCGTCAGGCGCGTAAAATCGTCGAGCCCCTTGCCAAGGCCGGCCATGTGGAAGACGCTGTGTAGGAAACATGAAGTGAACCGCAAGTAGGTATGAGTACAGTATAGGTATACCAGTATACCGTGGTAGACCAGATGGTAAATTAGTACCTCAAATCTGAACAGAATGGTCATGAATCGTTTACACGTTTACACCTGGTGATATTTGGTGATATTCCTCTACCATTCTGAACCCACTCTGAACCCACTCTCTACCATTCTGGTGATATTTGGTGTTTTTGAACCCACTCTCAACGCTCAGGCCGGGCCGGGGCGCCGCGTGACGGAACATCGGAATCTCGACCCTCCGGGTCTCGAGATGCTGGAGAGGCCGCACGGGCGCGAAGCGGGAGCGGGTTGCAAGGAAACTGAAAGGGACAGAGTGGGAAACCAATCATGGCTGAATGGGTAGAGCACAGGAGAAGTCGGAGACGTCACTGCATCAGGTTACAAGATGGCATCATATGGCGAACTTGGACGCGCCTGGGGGGGGCTCCAAATTGTTCCAAAAGGGCTACGGGATGTTGCGGGGTCAAAGAATTCTTCCCCAAAAGGGGTGACGGGGGATAAGATGGGATGAGGGGAAACTCACCGAGTCCGACCAATCTGTACCAAGCTTGTCGAGGCAGACATCCACCATGTTCAGAGGGATTCACGTGGCAAGTTGGAGGACTGAGTGGTTCGTTTCATGGACAAGGTCTTGGTCTTCCTTCTTCACCTCAGAAGCTCCTTCAGGATACATCAAAATACCTGATCCTCTCCAAATATAGTATATAATTGAATCTCTTCAAAGGAGGGGAGGTGTTCATGCATGCAGCCTCGGTCCCGGTCGTTCCGCACTCGACGGACTCGGCGGACGCTCTTCGACTGAAACGGCTGGGAATTCGAGGTGCCAAATGAAGCTGGGAATTCGAGACTGAGAGAGCCTTTCCCAGTTGCAGGTGGCTTTTGGGACGATGGGACGCTTTCCGCAATGCTGTAGTTGCCTGTTATTTTGTTTCACCCACTACGGTTGGCTTTTTGCAGTGGGCCATGCCGTATACCGACCACCTTTTAAACAAGTCTTACCTTTGTGGTCAGGTTGATGGGGCCACCCTCACTAACAAGTTATTTGATGTACAGGCAAGATACTTCATTATTTAAACAATTAGTGTAACTTATTGTGATGAGCTTGTTTGTGCTTAGTGTGGTGCAGGCTGGTTACTGAAGGACATTTTGCATCCCGAGGTGAATTTCCCTCTCTTGAGGGCCAAAGACTTTCACATGATGATCATAATTCTATCGGAACTATCAGATTCCAAGAAGTTCGGTGCAAGCAGACACATGTGCAACAAGTGTTCCTTTTTAAAAGGACCCCATCATCCCTTTTGGGCGACATCTCGCGAACTGGGAAGGCTTGCTCCTAGCACGGTCTTTGCACGGCAGCGCGCCACCGCGCAAGCGCGAAAGCGGCCCTGGCCTTTTTCGGGGGCGGAGCTTCTCCACCCGACGACGGGCCGATTCACGTGAATCGGGCCTCGGCGATGCTGCACCAACACGGTCTCATGGAGGTGAGTCCCTACTAGCAATGGCCTCCAACCTACAGCGATGGCCTCCAACCCGAAGAAGAGGCGATTCACGGATCTTTTTTTCCCTCGCTGTTGGCCATCGCCACAGCCCTTCTGGCCATGGCGAAATGTCGTCCTTGGTCCAATCTGGCAAAAGAAGGGAGAGAGGCGATGGGATGGGGCGACATTTACACAAATATGTAGAATACGTTTATAATTACTGTAGTTTGGGCTTTGCACTCATGGTTTCCAGATGTTTCAAGTACAGTTCTACGATTCTACGTTGTCGAAGAGATCTATATAATTAAGGATGGATCCCCTTTCAACTTCGATTTAACTCGACTCTTGGTGCTAGTTTTCTTCTCTGATTGTGACACACTATGCAGGGCATACAATAGCTGGGACTTATGCACCCACATACTTATTTTGCTAAGTCAAAGACTGCCCGGAGACCTCCCAAAGACCCTGGAAGAAGGGAAATGTACCCAAACCCATTGGTTGGGAGGTCTCTCTATTAAAATACGCACCACATGGGTTTGGAGGTTTCCATCTGTGGACATTTGGCGGACCAAATCCATCCCGGCCTCGCATCGGTGATGACTTGGACATGGTGTGGACAAGATAGCAAACATTGTTACTACTAGTAAGGCACTTGTTACGAACGCAGCGTGGCACTTGTTACTACTAGCATCCTTGCTTCTACAAGATCCTCATTCGTCTCCATGGCTTTCTTATGCTTTCTTTCATGGCTTCCTGCCGCGCCAGTTGCATGATCTCAAATGAAGCCGAAGAGAATCAGGGAGTTGCCACATCCAGACTGGCTTGGCCCTCTCAAAACATGGAGGCCCCGCTTCATCCGAACCAACAAGCCCAAGACCCAACGGCTGCTCAGCTCTTCATTTAGCTCTTAGGACTCGCACGGCGCCGCTCAGCTGCCCACTGCCGCGCTGCCGGCGGCGCTGCCCGTCATGCCGCTACTGCTGGCACTCCTGTGTGGCCTGACCTTCCTTGTGGGAGCAGCACCAGACCTCGCGGGCGAAGAGGAGTGGAACAAGTGCAACGGGCCAAAGAAGCCCTTGATCCTGGACCATGATGGCAACTACGATGATCCTTGCTGCGAGCTTGCTAGGGAGCCGTAGGTCTTAGCACTTTGAGTTAGTTGTTTTTGTTGGTGCTGTAGGTCTGAGCACGCAGTGTCGTGTCAGCTGTTTTTAAGTCTTGCACAGAGATCTGCGTTTCAACAACCATCCTTGATTCTAGCAAAACAACAACCTTAAAATGATTTCTTTGTTATGGGTCTTGAAAGGTCAAAGTAAAGACAAAATCTCAACAAGTCTCCGAGACCTTTGGACCAATACCGACTGGCCGCCCATTCCGACAGACCCACAGACCTGCGTCCGAGGATATCCTGGTCCTGTTGGCCTTGCTGAAGAGTCAACACGTCGATCTGCAGGCGGTGCTCATTACGCCCGCGGATTGCGAACTAGACCCAGCAGTGGAAGTCACCGGGCGGGTGCTGGCCATGCTGAACCGGACGGTGCCCGTGGTGCCCGGGCAGTTCCCGGAGAGGTACAACCCATTTCCCAAAGTTTGGAGAGAGTTCCTGGGCCAATGTTTGGAAGGTGTTTTTTTGTGTTTTTGGCAATGTTTTGTGATTTTGCATCTTTGGTCCACCTATATATATACATATATAGAGAGACTTCAACTTTGTTTGCACTAATGCATGATACATGTACTTTTGTTTTGGCTTGAACAATTGTGTGTGTTGAACTAGAATGACTCAGAGGAGTTCTATTTCATGAAACAACGTGCACACCCAAGTAGTGGCTAGTGGGACTCTCCAAAAGACACCTCACTTAGTCCGACTTTGGCATTGTTGAAGGACTGACTCGATCGTCACGGCACGCGCTTTGGATAACCGAAAATCTCTTGGACAGTCCAGGGAGAGACGATATGAGCCGAAGGTGTTCTGAAGAATGCCTTTTCCGAATGCCTTTCTTTCTTCCCCTGGACCGAAGGGACCGTAAGGGACCCCCCAGGTTTGGTGTTTCAGTCGTCGGTCCGTTCGTCGTCCAAGGTTGGCCTCTGAGATGCAGCAGGTGGCGGATATCTATTTGCAGGTCGGAGCGTGTCAGGGTCGATCTTCGTCTCAAAAAAGACCCACAAAACAACACCCAGGTGTACTGGGATTTATAGAGAGGGTCTGTTTCGACCTCCGGTGGCCCTAGAAGTCTTCAAATGGGATCGAATATATTTCAACTGATTAGGAATATATATATATATATATAGTAAGATGCTCTGAGGGATGAATGGATCCAGAAACACCCTGTTTGCAGGAGTCTGAGATCCATCGCCCATCAGAAGCTGCGCATGAATGGCTGGAAAGCTATCTGGGCAATGCTTCAGAGAAGACGGACGCCTGTTCTTTGGAGTTGCAGGTTTCGTGTGAACATCACTATCAGCACTATCACTGAACTAGATAAAATGGCATGCACATGTGTTGTCTTTTTAAAGTGGACGAGACATGTGCGGCAACCATCTCTAGCAAGCTCAACTCCTCTTCCTGCGTATTGGTGAAAGATCTGTGAACGGTTTCCACCTTTTTCACAGCCAGAAGAACTATTCAATCCAAAAACAACAAGAAGTCTTCAAACACCTTCCCCCCTTGCAAATCAGCAACTCATGCACCTAGTCTCGTCTCCACCTCTCCAATCATGGAGTGGTCCGGTTTGCGTCCTCACTGCGCCTGTCACCGGGCCGCCTCAGCCGGCCATCTCATGGCCGCCTCAGCCGGCCTCGAGGACTTCCTCCTCACGGGCCCGGCGACGAACCTCAACTGGGCGCTGCGCCAAAGGCCTCACCTGGCCTCGAAGGTGGGCCGCGTCTTCTGGATGGCCGGGGCGGTGGAGGTGGACGGCAACGTCCGCGTCCCGTGGCAGCATATGGTAGATGGACCACTTGGCACCGGGCTGCCCAAAAGGGAGTTGGATTATATTACGTTGGATTCATCCAAGGGGCCACGGATGACAAACTTTTGATAGCTTCGGTCAACAATTCTGGGCATTTCAGAGCAATCATTTTCATCCCTTTGTAGTACAGAGTCGAGGTGATTTGGTACAGTGCCGTTGGTTTTGGTCTCCCCAAGTCGCCTGGAAACGAGGACAGCGATGAGCCGGGTAAAGTGCAGTGGAGTGACGGCTCGGCAGAGTGGAACGCCTATTGGGACCCCTTGGCCACGCGAGAACTTCTGGAGCTAAACTTGGATTTGCATCTGGGCGCATGAAGCGGGCAAATCGGTCGAGGTCCTGGCGGTTGAGGTCGCAGGTTGCGGTGGATGGTTTTGAGTGGTGGGACATGAAACATGAATCGTCTCAGTAGCACGCGGAGTGAACGTGTGAAATGAACGAAACCAGAAACAGAACCAACACTGTACAACGTGCTACTGTTTGGCCCGCTGTGGATAAGACAAATGATTCAGATACAGGAAAACCATTGGCAAGGTTAGTTGGTGCAACCATCTCTTCCAGAGTAGGTGGGCCCTTAGGGGTGGGATTTCTTGGGCGTGGCGGGCGTGGTCATCTTGCTTGGGTGAAGTGGGGTCCGGCATGTTCCGGCATGTTCGTGGCTTCACATGGTCGTTGGCATGTCAAAAGCACCGAGCACTCCTGTAACTCTGGGACTAGGCTGCATAAACTCTCTTCATTTTTTGGCATGGAGGCAAAGGGCCTATCTCAAACGGAGGTTTGTGCTTGGATTTTGGTGAAAAACCCTTCCCTGCGACCAATGCATCCAAGGTGGTTGGTGCCGCTCGATGCGACCAATGCAGTCCCGTGGTCGGGAGACGGGCCCCGGTTGGAGCGGTTCGACGTGGATTCGTCGGTCTTTAGCAGTTGACTTGACCTTTTGGAGAGCCAAACACGTACTGTGCAAGGCCACCGACACTGCGGTTCCGAGTCGGATCAACAGAAACTGTAATTACCAGCTATGATTCCGATCACTGCGGGAAAAAGAACATGCAGCTGGCTCTTTGGAAAGAGAGCAAGAGCTGTGGGACCCCGGTGTTCATAGTATTCGGCAGAGTAAGTCTGCAGGTCCCCGTAGATCCATTTGTGCCAAACGTATACGACGAACAAAAGCAACATGGATAGGGGAAGCTGCCCAGTCAGGGTAGTAGGTAACCATCATCCACACTCTGCGCTCACCATTTCGCATAATGAAACTTGAAGATTGGTCTCGAAAGCCATGTCATCCAAATGTTAGTCCAGCTGGAGGTGCGGGGGCATTCAGAATATGCTGAATCTTGAGATTCGGACATTCTCAAAAGGTTTTTACATTTCCAGGTCATATATGCATCCAACATGGTCTGTTTGACAGTGGTTTCCTTGCCCCAAATAATCCACATACTCTACCTCCTGAGAAGGGTATGAAGGGTGGGCAAGGAAACCACTCAAACCGCTTTCTGACGTTGTTTTGGATCCATCGCTTTGTGTGACGACCAAAAAAACCAGACCTTTCGCGCCTCGTCGTGTACGTCGTGTGACGACTTGAAATCAGGTCCCAGTCCACAAAGACTTCATCCAACGACTGAATCCCAGACATCAAGTGCCACGGGTGGCACAGCAGATCTGGGCACAGTCGAAGTTCCAAAAAAGTGCCCCTTGGCAGTTTCGGCTTTTCAGCAGTTGGTGGGGCAAGCTGCGGGTATCCAACTTCCCAACAGAGGAAGCCAAGAAACTTGAGAGTTAATTGGTTTCGGTCGTGAAAGACATGACATAGGCTGCTTGAAGCTCGGAGTCCTTGCACCGAGAGGACTCAACATCACATCGTGCTGTCAAAGCGGTCAGCGCACTCACGCATTTTCCTGCAGCGGAGCTGCAGTTTCAAAGGGGGTTGAGGGCTTTGCTACAGCATGTCACTCTCTTCGTCAGCAGGGCATGTTGCTTTGTCCAACTTTGCAAGTATTTACCTAGTTCACCTGAGTGATTTGTTGGAGATTCTGGAACAATTCCTCGCGGTTCTTGCAAGATTTTGCAAGTAAGAGTGAAGGAAACTGATTAAAGGTAAACACAGGGTAAAGGTTCATGATGAATGAATGTATGAAACTCAGTCGACCCTCCCACCAATGGATTTTGTGTACTTTTACTCTTCCCATGGGACGTCTCCCTATCTTAATGCATCTTAATACACAACATTGCACAACCATGTTCTATTTGTGTCTCAATCCTTGCACTTCGAAAGACATCACACACACACACACCAACCTTTTCTTTTTTTCACCCCAAGTGCACATTCCAACTGCAAGCCACCTAGCCACCCAAACCTCCGACCTTTTGGCTGAGAATGCGATCTACTACATGTGGGACACCTTGACTGCGGGCTTATACCTGAAGCCCTCCCTGGCGACCTGGCGTTCGATGCACCTCGAGGGCCACACCGAGGGCCGCCGCCAGGGGCGCATCGCCCGGGCGCACCGCGGCGCGGCACGGGGCACAGTGCGGGTGGCCAGCGAGACGGATGTGCCGGCGCGGCTCGGTTTGGAGACGGTTGGAGATGGTGGGAGGGCAATTTCCGGTCAATGAAGCTAGGTGGTGGAGGACCGGAGGACCTCAAAGTTCAAGTTCCAAGTTTCAGGATGTACAGAAGTGTGTTTCTAGGCCAAGCTGTTTGATTACTGGGCTCTTGCTTGTATCCAGTTGCGTTCTCCCACAAAGAGTCTTCACTGTGTGTGGATTGTTTGATCGTTCGCAGGCTTGGGCTGCTTTCACCCACGACCAAGTCCTGAAACACTTACTGTAAAAAATACTGAAGTTTTTGTCGCGCAGCAACTGCAGAAAAGTGAAGAATTATTTTCGAAACAAAAGACCGGGCCGTACGACGTACGACTAGTCCGGCCCTTTTTTTTTCGGGTCGGTCAAAACCGTTCATGGCTGTCACCAGATGTTGGGAACCATCTCGGGTGACATGAGACCGTCCTTCTGGTTCCCCTGAGGTTCACGGAGTTCCTGCTGAGTATCTTCAATGAGGCGAAACCTGGTGAACTTTGAGTAACTTCTTCGACTTCTCATGGCGGAGTCAAACCGGGGCGAAGACCTCCCTGAGGAGGGGATTTCCCGGTCCTCTCAGTCCTTTTCAAGAAAGTGCGAAGTGGAACTCAAGGCCTCAACAAGTTCATATATGTAAGTTCCTTCTTTCCTGATGCACCACACGCTCATCAGATGTACCATACCCTTCCACTTCCATGTTTTGAGGGGTGGTCGGCCCTAACGACCACACTGCCAGCATGCTGGAAGTTGATGGAAGTTGTTGATTCAACAAGCAGCAGAGCTGGATTTGCCCGCTAGAAGCGTTAGAAGGGCGCAATGGGCCCTTCTGAAAGATTGCAGTTTTGCTTGCAGTGTAGCTCCTTTGCTGGAACGGGGCATTGTATTTCCCTCTTTGGTGACTTTGAGAGCCAAGCAGGGTGAAAAAGAGCGTTCTCATGCTCCATTTGTCCTTTCCAGGATCACCTGGTTCTGGGTTCGCCCCATTCAACATGCGAGTTGTAGGGGAAGATGAGGGAAGAGGAGGGAAGAGGTAGGACTGTTTGACACGTCCCTACACCCCAGAGAACAGAACAAGATGCTGATGTTCATTTTGCTGACGCTTCAATCGCTCCTTGGTTTCGGTCATGTTTCCTCACGTGACTGACGGGTCGAATCTGCTGATCCAACAAAACCTGAGGAGAAAAAGAGAGATAGAGAGATAGAGAGAGAGAGAGAGTGAGTGAGTGAGTGAGTGAGTGAGTGAGAGTGGTTGAGGTACGTAGCCTAGTTGCTTAGCCTGTATGGCCCTGTATGGCTAGGATCCGGAAGGGTTCGAGGGACGACAGACGGCTGGGTGAGAATTCGGTGCAATGAACATCAAAACCAAACCCTGCAAGAAATAAAAGTGATTGATGTTCACCAAAACATGAACACCAGTTCCGAAGGCAGTTCTGGAGGGTTGTAGTAGTAGTGGTCATTCATGCTGGTTCCAGGCAACTGCCCACTTTAACACCCTCTGGTCAACCATGACATACACTGGTTGGTTGTTTATAGCACTTTCTGCGCTTGAAAGGAAAGATCAAGGAACATGTCATTCAAGTTTTTTACCGAGCCGCTGGCTTCAGCAGTGCGTAGACTAGAAGTCATAACTAAATGTCAGACGTTTTGTTGACCATCGAACGATGGGAACCGTTCAATCATGCAAGGTTCAATCTCCTACCGATCTGCTCTTTCTATGATGCATGCTCGGCCAACCGTTCGTAACGAATGATGTTCCGGCACTTACGGAGTTCAACTGACACTGGTGTTGCGTGGAACCCTCTGGGGGTACTTGGTCGGAGCCATCGTCCCCAAACAGGGGCGGCCGCCATGGAGGTCAGTGACCAATTTCTCCAAATCTCCAACATCCGGTCACGGTGGCAGCAGTTCGAGACGAAGCCTTCGACGAATTTCTGCGGAGTGATGCCGCTGTTTGTTGATCATCAGACCTTTCTCACAAGACCTTTGAGACCAGACGCGGACGGTGACAACACCCCAACACACTGAGCATAACCAAGAGGTGAACTGGTTTTGGCCGACATCCCACCCCAGGCGAATGTTCAACTTGGAATTGAATCAAGAATCAGTGGCAAAATGTTCCTAGAATCCACCGAACATCACCGAACACTTCTTTTGAGTCTTAACTTTTTGGGGTGTGAAATGGGATCGATTTGTGTTCTGCTCCGCCTTCGTTGTCATCTGCTTTTGTGTGGTTTCCTTTTCTTCTCCCTTTGTTCTGCTCTTTTTCTCCTTGGGAACGAACCAAGAGAACCCGCCACTCTCTTCGATGAGTCAAAAGCCCAGGCACGAGAAGCCCAACTGCCCAGCGGATTTGGATGTGGGAGTTCCTCCGGAAACCTCGTTGCCAGACCGCAGGGGGGCTGTGACAGGAGTTCGCGGCGCCGCGGTGTGTCGGATGAGGTTTCCGTCGCTCGTGGGGTCCATCGGTACATCCGATGGATTCACCTCTCAGATGGGGCCAATGGTCGGGCCAGGGCGGCCAGTTACATGGGCTTTCGGTGAACCTAAAGAGATTGGAATCTCATCCAGTTACATGGAAGATCGGTGCTTTTTGACAGACGATAAGTGAAGAAATATAGGATAAGGATAAGTGACCAGAATCCACTCACTAAGGGTCTAAAAACCCACCCGGACATGGAACTCCAGGATGTTTTGATTCTTCTTGCCACGCAGATCCAAGTTCTGTTCATCAATTGGGCCGGTACCAAGATGTCCAATCAAAGCATCACAGAGAGAGAGAGAGACTCAAGCTGGCTAAGATATGATATGTAGGTAGGCTGCCGGTAGACTCAAGCTAGGATGTTGTTTCTTGTGTACTGAGAGTGGTGTGGATAGATCGACAACCAGCCCAGTGTTCCTTTTACGTTACCTGGATGTCCTGATCGATTTCTTATACATTTCATTCCCTTTACGCACACCTTACCTTGCTTTTGGTATGGATTGCTCATTAAATCTAATTCATGTCAGATTCCTCAATGCCAGGGTCAACTCTGAAGAGAACCGGTGTGATGTCCGAAGAGAACCAGTGGAAAGATGGGGGACCAAGCTGTAGGGGATCCAAGTAGCTTCGGTACAGTGATGGCAGACGCTGTTGTTATGTAGGTGCCATTATCGGGTCCAGTCGTACCTTTTGAGGTTCGATACGACTGGATCCCTTGGGAAGCTCAGTGGCCTCACTCGTTTCACTCGTTGACGTCCCCGTGCTCGTCATCCGCCGGCTGCACAGGTCCAAGGCGTGCGAAGCGCCGCCAACAGTGGCTTCCGAGAGCTTCTTGCGGTTGATCAATTTGGTCGTGCAACAGAGCCTTTCCGGAGATTTTGGATCCAGAATCATCCAATTTGGAGTGCAACTCAAAGAGTCTTTCCTGAGATTTTGGGGTCCAGCCGAGCCTTGTGTTTCAGAACCCATGGTGCAACAGCGCTGCGACCATTGGCCTACCGAAAGCCTCCCGGGTCTTGTACGGTATTAAATAACCATCCTGACTGAAATACATATAATTTCGGTGCAACTCACTCCCGGGGCACTCAACCCAAAAAGTAAGGAGCCATCAATTTCAGTACTTCCTATACAAAATTAGCCCAGCTGGAGACCCCAATAGCAAGATACAAACCGGGACAAAAAGAAAAATCTGGAAACAGCTGCTGTTTTCAACACATCGACCATCTCTTCCTTGGACACCATCATCACATAACCGGGACACCATCACAAAATGACCAGGGCACCATCAAAACATGACCGAGACACGTCACAACATGACTGGGACACAATCAAAACATGATCGGGACACCATCAGAACATGACCGCGCCACCATCACATGATCGGGACACCATCAAAACATGACCGGGACACCGTCACAACACGACCGGGACACCATCAAAACATGACCGGGACACCATCACAACATGACCGGGACACCATCACATGCCTGGGACACCATCAAAACATGACCGGGACACAATCACATGACCGGGACACCATCAAAAAAATGACCGGGACACCATCACAACATGACCGGGACACCATCAAAACAGGACCGGGACACCATCACAACATGACTGGGACACAATCAAAACATGATCGGGGCTCACAATCATCACAACATGACCGCGCCACCATCACATGATCGGGACACCATCAAAACATGACCGGGACACCGTCACAACACGACCGGGACACCATCAAAACATGACCGGGACACCATCACAACATGACCGGGACACCAAAACATGACCGG